GCATCCGCTCGTCGCCCTGAAGACCCGGGTTCGATTCCCCACATGGGTACAATGTGTGAAGCCCATTTCTGGTGTCCCCCGCTAAAAGCGGCGTAAAACCATTCTCACTCACTCACTGTAATGTAGATATCGTCATGTAGTTCGTAATTCGTAGATCAGTCTCAGTTCCCAATCTCCATCGGACAGTTTCATTCTCACCTCACCATCTCCATCCCCCTTCTGTTCGTATCATCTTCCCATCCCACTTCTCCATCCCGTCTTTCCATTTGCCTCGTCATCTCTTCATCTTTCATCTGTTAATCTCATGTCTCCATCACATCTCTCATTACAAGCTCTGTCCCCAGCTCGACCTAATGTAAATATCAACCTTTGATATGGTTGTAATGCTGCGAAAGAGCAACGTAAAACACTAACTCACCCACCCACTCACTCTCTCAAACCCACTCACTCACCGAATAACCTCATTCACTCACTCACTCGACAATCACAGCGGGTACAACAGAAACATCACATAGTTGCGCTTTTTATCAAATAGTTTCTTCACAAATGTCTGCCCAAACAGTGATAAATGTCAGTCCCGATGTATCCCAGTTTACACGCTGCTTTCATTACGGCGGAATCTGCTACTAGTCCCCTGCCCGCAGGTTGTTACTAAATTTCTCCTCAAAGTGTCCATATAAAATGGTGGTGTATTTATCATGGGAAATGGAAAAGCTAAAAGGGTAATGGTTTTCAATTTAAAAACCATCTGTATTTTATTTTACGTCCGTCAATCGAGACATTTTATTGCAAAAACCGCAACTTCAGCAACATATGGCCTTTTACTCAGTTATCGCTACAATTCTTCAATTATTTTATGAGAGAAGTTAAAACTTATTCAAATCAAAACCATGTTCCAGAAAGACTCCTGAGTGCAGAAAATGTTGATTTTGAAAACATACTTAAATTTGTGTGTGCAATTGCAATAATACTGAGTAAATTTGAAAACATCATTTTTGAATGTTATTTACGCTTTTGTGTTAAAAGAATACTTTCCTATCACGCAATAAGCAGTGGGTGTGTAAGAAATAAAACGGACTCTGATATATGTACTTCATGTGACAGGTTTAAAAGCCATCAATAACGGGATTTCATCTTCTATAACACGGAAGTGCAGCTGATTTGGAAATAAAAACGTCCCACACCCAGAATGAAATATTTGTGATATTCTATGATGAAAACTGCATTTATATCCCTATACAGCAATAGTTGTAGTTAGACTGGGTGAGTGAGTTTAGTTTTACGACGCACTCAGCAATATTCCAGCTATATGGCGGCGGTCTGTAAATAATCGATCGAGTCTGGACCAGACAATCCAGTAATCAGCAGCATGTGCATCGATCTACGCAATTGGGTTGTAGTCAGAGGTATATACAGTTGGAGGAATATACATTCAAACCCCTACACACTTAGAGACACATACAATCAGAGAGAACATTGAAAGCGTTAACGACACAACCCCAGACACACAGAATCAGGGATAGATTAACGCTTAGTTCCTGAATATATAATTTTGATATTAAGAAATGAAAAGGAGCTCCGGTGAGTTGAAACTGGGGAAATCTAGACTTGTTTCATTTAGGGCGTTAGCATTGCAGGGAGGGCTGGGCAGTAGGGAAAACGATGGGTTCAGGTACTGTGAGACAGATTAAATCAGGGACCATATACAACATAGTCATACTACCCGAGACACATACAATCACAGATCACACAAAGTTAGAGACACATAAAGTCAGAGACTACCTATTGTCAAAGACATATACAGTGCGATGTTGCATCCGTTCATGCATAGAGAGAGTCCGAGACCATTTACAGTCGGAATCATATTCATTCACGGATAATAGACAGATACACTCGCCCGTGAAGATCCGGCTTAGAATTGATCCTCAGCAAACCATGTTTGTCGTAAGAGGCGACTAACGGGATCGGGTGGTCAGGCTCGCTGACTTGGTTGACACATGTCATTGTATCCTAATTGCGTAGATCGATGCTCGTGCTGTTGATTACTGGATTTTCTGGTCCAGACTCGATTATTTACAAACTGCCGCCATATAGTTGGAATATTGCTGAGTGCGGCGTTAAACAACCAACCAACCAACAACCATCAAATACAGTCAGAGAGACATTTTGTCAGTGACGCCTACAGTCAGAGCGACATTCATATAGTCAGAAGAAACATAGAGAGACATATAGAGTAAGAGAGACATACAATCAGATGACATACATTTAGACGCATATGCACAGACCATTTTCGGTTAGAGATTTGCCGTCAGAAAAATATATTGTTGTTTAACCTTTCTGTTTTAATCAAAACGTATTATTTATTACAGTAACACCATATCTTTTCAAAATTTCACAACATTTTTTTGTTCCTCTAAAGTACGATATGAAGCATTGAAACTTCACGCCCCGTGCGCTATCTCGCAAATTCTCGCAAAGACGAGATAGCACGCCATTTCTTGTGCGATAGCTGTGATGAAGCTCGTGGATGTCGTCCGGTTCCCACGGAGGGAGGGGCAAGGAACGCGAGGCCGGAGCGACTGAGGCTGGGGGCACCTGTTTGGGGTTAAGGATGGCTGGATGGGGCAATGGATAAAAAACACATTGTGAGAAAATGACGTATTTACCTCCCTTGGGCCTGGCTTGTCACTCTTTGAACGTTGGAGGGAATCTTTTGATTAGTGTGATAATATCCCCACTAACAGTTTCCATATTGACATTACCTCCTCCTGCACGTGCGACACAGTGGTCACGTGGTCAAAACATGGCCCAAATGACCATGTTTTGTTGAGTTGTTTATAGATTACTGGCAATATGATCTTTAGAACATGGTGATTACTGGAGAAATGGCTCTGCGATGATATGTGTTCCCGCGAAAGATTCAATTCCTGAGAAATTCCATACATTTACGGTTTTCGGTCGTATTTCGTTTGTTTTGTGAAATCTGTGATGTGCTACATGATTAAAAGCATTTAAGGCGTTTTCGAAATATATTCACGTAACCTCTTTGTTAAGTACTCAAAAAACAATTTAACAACGACAAATGCACATCTATTGAAGTCTGTTGCAATATTTCTAAAGCGTAACTTGCCTGCATGAAAATGTCCTAATTATAATGTTTTATCTGTCCATCTGCAAAATATTGTTTTTACTCTTGGCCATGTGGCCTCAAATCTGAAATAAATTTCTTCTTCTTCTTCTTCTTCAAATGAAGTTCGCCTTGTGTTTACACCGGTTTAAATGGCATTTCATTTGTATCATGGCATGTTAACCTAATTCAGGAGCAAAGGTGTTAAACATGTCTTAGACGTCTAACATTCTGGTGAATCCCGCGAGATCGGGTATGATGCTGGCAAACGTACGATTATATTGACAGTAAAATTCGCTTCCAAACCTATGTTCATTTGATCGCCGAATTCTGCACAGCTTCGAGTCAGTGAGATGGGTTTTACGCCGTTTTAAGCTGAAATACCTTGCTCAGACTGAAATATTTTCAAAGCGAGGTTCAACTAACTCACTCACTCACTCACTCACTCACTCACAGTTGGTTGTGGTGCTACACCAGGATGCCATATTACCGTGACATTTGAAGGAAAGCTTGAATATGACTTAATGCAGTTTTTCCCCATTGAAATCTCAAACAGACCCAAAAACGAAACATCAGAAAATCACAAGCAAGAACTTGTGCAAGTCTAAATTTCAAGATATAGTTTAATATGCTCGAAAATGAAGAGATTCTCTGGGTATTTTTGTTTGTTTTAATGAAATTCAATTCAAACAAATACATATTCTAATATTTTCATTTCAAAGACGTAATGTCTTGAAATAACAACTCACTGATGGGAACACAAAGCATACCCCACACAGCATACCCATGTCAAGAATCAAACCCCGTCCTTTAGCGTGACAAGCAAACGCTTTTACCAGCAGGCCACCGCCCGCTTACATTTGCCCAGGATTCCCATGTGGTACAGATGTTGCGTTTTATCGCCGTAACATGGTTATCATGATTCCGTAAAACCAGAATAACAATTATAATCACGTCGAACACGCTGGTTTTAATCATCACCTTTACGTATATTATCCCAGAGACAGTCTCCGTGGACTGAAACTATTTACCACACGACTAATGATAGGGAACGGCGAGCGACTGCATGTGTTCTTGATTTCAAAAACTGCTTCGTCAATGGAATACAGTTGTTAGGAATATCTATCACAGCCGTGAACGTGTGTGAAAGTGTGACAAAATATGGACAAGCTTGTTAGCACCAAACTCCCTCTTTGGCTTGGATATGTTCGCGTCAGTTCGTCATGAGAACCAGGAAAGATTAAACGGTATGGAAACTGACACCCAGGCTGTTAAGACTGTACCTTTATTAGTTGCGGGAGTTAATTGGTACTTCGTGTAATATGAGCTGAGGACATAATGGCAGTAACCCTCCATGTTTTGCTGGCAACTAATGAACTAAATTAGAACTAAATCGAGTTATTGAGCTCTCCACTTTGCAAACGTTGATGTCATAAATATTGGTATGATTATCTTACTTCCTTGTATAATAAAAAATTGTGTTAGTATTTGTTGTTTTTAACGCAATATTTTGTTGTTTTCTACGATGCTCAAAGTAGACTTGAGAGGAATACTCGAGTGTCAAATATTTAGCGTCACATGAGGCATTCGCAGTAATAAACAATTTATGCTATTTGCACTCTTAATAATTATAACAAACTTTATTTTTTGTTAATTATAGCTGATATATAATCAATATTTATGAATTCATTCGTGCTGGTATAATGGTTTTCTTGTCTTGTAATGCCTTGCCTTGTGAATCTTATTCTCTGTGTCTTGTCTTTGTTGTTCTTGTGTCTTATGTGTCTGATGTGTCTTGTGTTGACTTGTTTTATGTGTCTCATCATGACTATTATCTTGTCTTGTCCTTCTGGTCGTGTCTTGTGTTCCTTGGTCAGCGTGACTTGTCCCGGTCGTGTCTTGTGTGCCTTGGCCTGCGTGTTTTGTCCTTCTGGTCGTGTCTTGTGTGCCTTGGCCAGATTGTCTTGTCTTTCTGGTCGTGTCTTGTGTGCCTTGGTCCACCTGTTTTGTCCTTCTGGTCGTGTCTTGTGTGCCTTGGCCAGCTTGTCTTGTCCTTCTGGTCGTGTCTTGTGTGCCTTGGCCAGCTTGTCTTGTCCTTCTTGTCGTGTCTTGTGTGCCTTGGCCAGCGTGTCTTGTCCTTCTGGTCGTGTCTGTGTGGTCGTGTCTTGTGTGGCTTGGTCCGCTTGTCTTGTCCTTCTGATCGTGTCTTGTGTGCCTTGGTCCACCTGTTTTGTCCTTCTGGTCGTGTCTTTTGTGCATTGGCCAGCTTGTCTTGTCCTTCTGGTCGTGTCTTGCGTGCCTTGGCCAGCCCGTCTTGTCCTTCTTGTCTTGTCTTGTGTGTTCTGTGGCTTATACGAATGGTCATTATGATGTCACATAATAAAGCCGGAGCACTCATGGTCTCACGCACACAGGGTGTCACACACGATGGAGCAATTGATATCACACTACGGGGCATATACGGTATTTAGAAAATAGTAAATTACATTTTCATCATTTTCTATTTTATACACAAAATGGCAGGGATATAAAACTTCATCTGAGCAGTGGTAACACCAGCCTTCTCAGAATCGCCATACAAGTCTTCGTGTGTTGTTGAAGCTGAAGCGACAAGGTCTTGTTTTAAAAAATCCCTCAAAGGAGGCAGGTTTTTTTTCTTGTAACCCCTACGTTGAAACCCGATGCTTAACTAACTGATACTCCAACATTAACATAGGCATTTTTTCTTTGGTTTAAGACCTAAACTGCACTTAAATGTTGTTATATTGGCGTAAATAATCGCTTTCACCACGTGCGAGCAGACACGTGCACTGTCGGCGTGATTCAGTTACATGTCTCAATGTTGTAGAGGGGTAATCTCATAAAACCGGCCGTGTCTGTGGATATTTGTTTTGAGTAACGTGTATGTTTTCGTTCATTTTGACATTAAGACACAAAGCTTGTTAAAACTAATTCGCAGATTTGGTTTCGAACAATTTGTAGGACTTGTACCAGCTGTTTGCTGACCCAAATACCAAATTTTGCTGATATTTTGTGGATCGCGTGACATAATATATGCTTGATCGTTTCATTTGAACTTTTCCTTTGATTGTGATGTCGATTCGAAAAGACGTTGGATGGATAGTCCAAAAATATCTATAAAACACATGTTTTATGGTGATAATGTTGACACATGTTCGTGGATGCATGCAGTGTTGATGTATTTTCAGTAAACGATGAGTGAGTGAGTTGGGTTTTACGCCGCTTTTGGCAATATTCCAGAAATATCACGACAAGGGACACCAGAAATGGGCTTCACGCATTGTAACCATGTGGTGAATCGAACCCGGGTCTTCGGCGTAACAACCTAACGCTTTGACCACTGGGCTACCCCACCGCCCCTCACGATACGAATTATTTGGCCAACGACTTCATCGTTAAATCAGACTGTCAGTTTATTTCTTTTTTGTTTAATTCAGCAATATTCGAACTATATGGGATCGGTTTGTAAATAAAAGAGCCTGGACCAAATAAACCAGTGACTGATATCATGAGCATCTATCCACACAGTATTGGGATACGATGCCATGCAGTTAACCAAGACACTGAGGTTGACCACCCAAACCAATAAGTCAACTCTTAAGACCCGTGAATACCAAAGTGGTGTGTGTGTGTGCGTGCGTCCGTGCGTGCGTGTGTGTGTGTGTGTGTGCGTGCGTGCGTGCGTGCGTGCGTGTGTGCGTGCGTGCGTGCGTGTGTGCGGCCTGCCTAACTTCGTGCTGTCCGCCAACAACTCAAACACTTTTAAAAAACGACGTGAAACTTCATTCACTCACTTGTTCTAGCAATGTTGCTCATTTACTAAACATTGTTACAAACTTCTACAACAAGCATATTTGCTAAAGAATGGAAGCTATAACATCGTACGCGAAAGACCCGTGAAGATCCGGGTTAGAATTGATCTTCAGTAACCCATGCTTGTTCTAAGAGGCGACTAACGGGATCGAGTGGTCTGACTCGGTGACTTGGTTGACAACTTGACACAGGTCATCGTATGCCAATTACGCGTTTCTTTGAACTTTTCCTTTGATTGTGGTGTCGATTCGAAAAGACGTTGGATGGATAGTCCAAAAATATCTATAAAACACATGTTTTATGGTGATAATGTTGACACATGTTCGTGGATGCATGCAGTGTTGATGTATTTTCAGTAAACGATGAGTGAGTGAGTTGGGTTTTACGCCGCTTTTGGCAATATTCCAGAAATATCACGACAAGGGACACCAAAAATGGGCTTCACGCATTGTAACCATGTGGTGAATCGAACCCGGGTCTTCGGCGTAACAACCTAACGTTTTGACCACTGGGCTACCCCACCGCCCCTCACGATACGATGTATTTGGCCAACGACTTCATCGTTAAATCAGACTGTCAGTTTATTTCTTTGTTGTTTAATTCAGCAATATTCGAACTATATGGGATCGGTTTGTAAATAAAAGAGCCTGGACCAAGTAAACCAGTGACTGATATCATGAGCATCTACCCACACAGTATTGGGATACGATGCCATGCAGTTAACCAAGACACTGAGGTTGACCACCCAAACCAATAAGTCAACTCTTACGACCCGTGAATACCAAAGTGGTGTGTGTGTGCGTGCGTCCGTGCGTGCGTCCGTGCGTGCGTGTGTGTGTGTGTGCGTGTGTGTGTGTGTGTGTGTGTGCGTGTGTGTGTGCGCGCGTGCGTGCGTGTGTGCGGCCTGCCTCACTTCGTGCTATCCGCCAACAACTCAAACAATTTTCAAAAACGACGTGAAACTTCATTCACTCACTTGTTATATCAATGTTGCTCATTTACTAAACATTGTTACAAACTTCTAGAACAAGCATATTTGCTAAAGAATGGAAGCTATAACATCGCACGCGAAAGACCCGTGAAGATCCGGGTTAGAATTGATCTTCAGTAACCCATGCTTGTTCTAAGAGGCGACTGACGGGATCGGGTGGTCAGGCTCGCTGACTTGGTTGACAACTTGACACATGTCATCGTATGCCAATAACGTAGATTGATATTTTGTGGATCGCGTGACATAATATATGCTTGATCGTTTCTTTTGAACTTTTCCTTTGATTGTGGTGTCGATTCGAAAAGACGTTGGATGGATAGTCCAAAAATATCTATAAAACACATGTTTTATGGTGATAATGTTGACACATGTTCGTGGATGCATGCAGTGTTGATGTATTTTCAGTAAACGATGAGTGAGTGAGTTGGGTTTTACGCCGCTTTTGGCAATATTCCAGAAATATCACGACAAGGGACACCAAAAATGGGCTTCACGCATTGTAACCATGTGGTGAATCGAACCCGGGTCTTCGGCGTAACAACCTAACGTTTTGACCACTGGGCTACCCCACCGCCCCTCACGATACGATGTATTTGGCCAACGACTTCATCGTTAAATCAGACTGTCAGTTTATTTCTTTGTTGTTTAATTCAGCAATATTCGAACTATATGGGATCGGTTTGTAAATAAAAGAGCCTGGACCAAGTAAACCAGTGACTGATATCATGAGCATCTACCCACACAGTATTGGGATACGATGCCATGCAGTTAACCAAGACACTGAGGTTGACCACCCAAACCAATAAGTCAACTCTTAAGACCCGTGAATACCAAAGTGGTGTGTGTGTGTGCGTGCGTCCGTGCGTGCGTGTGTGTGTGTGTGTGCGTGCGTGCGTGCGTGCGTGTGTGCGTGCGTGCGTGCGTGTGTGCGGCCTGCCTAACTTCGTGCTGTCCGCCAACAACTCAAACACTTTTCAAAAACGACGTGAAACTTCATTCACTCACTTGTTCTAGCAATGTTGCTCATTTACTAAACATTGTTACAAACTTCTAGAACAAGCATATTTGCTAAAGAATGGAAGCTATAACATCGTACGCGAAAGACCCGTGAAGATCCGGGTTAGAATTGATCTTCAGTAACCCATGCTTGTTCTAAGAGGCGACTAACGGGATCGAGTGGTCTGACTCGGTGACTTGGTTGACAACTTGACACAGGTCATCGTATGCCAATTACGTAGATCGATGTGCATGTTGTTGAACATTGAATTGTCGTTTATGTACAGAGCGCCACCATATAGCTTTAATATTGCTGAGTTCGGCGTAAAACTAAACTCACTTACTCACTGGAGCGTTAAAGCTAACATGCTTTATCGCTAGTATTCATAGAAAGTAAAGCCATTTCCCCAGCACGAGCTATGCACATTTGGGCACCTATCACTCGTCAATATGGACTTAGATTGTCTGCTTCCCTCCTAACAGGCTTTCCTTAACACAGGATTACGTGAAAATCACATGACAGGAAGTAATCTATTGTCTAATCACACGAAAAGCTGGTTCCCAGCTCCTTATGCGCATGGTCAACTTGCGCCATTGATATGTATCAGATGTTATGAGACGGAACCCAGCTTAATCACACGGACCCGTTCAAGTCACGTGAACTTGTGTAAACACCTGCCACGTAAGCACGTGCAACATTCACGTCAATAAACTCTAGAATATGTTACTGCTGTCTTATTTCCGAGTATTCTTTTATGTGTGGGTAGCTCATACTTATATTTCCTTCTGTAAATATTAGTTTTGGAAATGGAATACAAGTTTTAGAATGTCAGCGTCCGCTGATTGGAACAGCATGCGGCCGACCGAGTCTTGACTGGATTGTTAAAGTTCACGTGTGTAGCCTGTTGGTTTCCAAACTACAAAAACAACTGCCGGTCTGAGGGATACGATTCGATTTTAAAGTGCAGATCCCTGGAAAGATAGCAGTCGTTTTGACAGGAGTCTTTGTTGCAGCGGGGGCGGTGGGGTAGCCTAGAGGTTAAAGTGTTCGATCGTCACGCTGAAGACGTATATGGGTATAATGTGTGAAGCCCATTTCTGGTGTCCCCCGCAGTGATAATGCAGGAATATTGCTAAAAGCGGCGTAAAAACAAAAACTCACTCACTCAGTTTTCTGTAGCTCCTAGCGTCGCCATTGTTTAATGGTGATTCGCGAACAAGTGCTTTAGGGGTGCTGAAATTCCGTGGTGTCGATCTCAGACGTTTACCATTTTGTACAAGGCATATGGTGTTGACAGACCTAGAAACATAATCATAATTCACATTATCTACAAAATAACTAATAAGAGGAATTAATTACGGATTATCTGTCAAAGAGTGAATTAATTGTGGAATTCCTAAGATTTTTTTTTTATCATAACACTGACCCGATCCCTGTCTCTGGGATGTATATACATCATACTGGTCCTATCTGTACATGGATAACACAGGCCCTATCTGCATATGGATAACACTGGCCCTCTCTGTATATGGATAACACAGGT